GACAAAAAAAAAGTTCCATTAAATATCTCTTATATATTATTTGGGAATAATTTGTGAAAAAATGCTTATGTGTCTTGCTCATATTCACTTTTACAGAATTTATTGTGATATGACAATATTTAAATGTGCATGACAAAACTCTTACAAACATTTAACCCATTAATAATGTTTAATTTTTTTTTTATCATTTTAGCCTATTATACACATGAAAATTATAGTCCACTAATAGCGATTAATTTTTTATAAAGTTTAGCCTTTTAATTACCTTATTAATCAAGCTAAAAAATACCCACAAACAAAATTATACCTAGCTTCCATTATATATATATATAAAGCTAACAACCAATTTACTTTCTTCACATCTCATTTTTTTTAAATGGTTTTGCCCTATGATTATGATGATATTGTAGATCTAAACAATTTTAAATATACATAGATTAAATAAGAGACACTAACCGTAAGAAAAAAAATAACAATCGTTTTGAAAAACAAAAAAATAGAAAAATATAAAATATTTGCTTAATGTTGTACGAAAAATTTATTATTATTTTATTACAAAGAATTTTTCATATTAATCTTTAATATTTAATGATGAATTCAGTTTTTCTCTAAATTCAACTCAAAAGAATGATTTTTGTTTTAAAAAAAAGATCAAATAGGGGTTTAATATTTTATGAGAGGGATCTCAACATTTTATATTAGATTGTGAACCATAATGTTTTAAATTATTATACATATTAATTTAACACGATTGCGTATATAAAGTAATAAAATTAAACTTTTGAAAATTAATATTATTAGCAAAAAAAATATTGTTGTCAAAAAAAATGTAACCACCAAAATATAAAAAAATGTTAATAATAAAAATCAAAACAAACACATATTTTTACATATCAAAAAATGTAAAATTAAAAACAAAATTAAAAATAAATTGACCGCATGTACGCGCGGACAAATCACCTAATGGTAAAACCGTAAAAGTAAAATATAATATTTTCCAGCCTGGCACCCAATTCCACCTAAGAAAATTTACAAACTACTATTACAGAATTAAATAACCAAATTAATATTACACGTGGCAATGAATACCATTTGGCTGATAAGACCCCTTCACT